AATTCTTCTTTTTTTTTCAAGTTCACTGATATGTCCTTTAGAGAAATGTAATGTTTCTGTGCCTTATTCAAATTCGAGGAAGGGATAAAGCATCAGAAATATGACATGTCAAATGTTGCAATATTCGATCTTTTCCATTTGTATAATATAATTTTCCATTTTGTATAATTAAACAATACAAATAAAAATTATACAATACAAATGAAAATTATACAATATAAACGAAAAATTATAGATAACAAATAGAAAATTATAGAAGAAATTGGAAAATTATGGAATACAAAAAAGTTATACAAATTGAAAATACAGTTACAAAAGGAAAATTATAGAATGCAAAAAAAAAATTATAGAATACAAATGAAAAATTATACAGTACAAATGGAAAAGATTGAATATTGCAACGTTTGACATGTCATACAGAAGAGATTCAAAAGCTTCTGAAAAATATGAAGGAAAAACTTAATTTTTCAATATAAAACAAGGAAACAATATGGAGTCATCATAATTAAGTCATAGGGTTCTACTCTATCAAGGAATTTCTAAACAACCTCCCCTAAAATTACTTTGAAAATATCCTCAAGTGGTTTTAATTCAAATTTGTTTGAATTATTGTCCTTTGGGTGAAATAGAGATGCCAATATAGACTCCTTTTTTTATAGAAAAGTGTAAGGTAATTGGAAAAAATAACGTGACCTGGAAGAAACTCGCAAAGTCATGTGTGTTTTTTTAAAATTTTATTTCCACAGAACTGTAGATTTTTTCAAAATGCAGTTCTAGCCCGATTTCAATAAAAATCGGTACGCAAGTCTATGCTAAATTATTGTGTGTAGAATATATTATTCATAAGTGTTTTAAATCTGTCAAAATGTACAAGTTTAGAAAACATGAGATAAAACATACTAACTTTTAGTAATTCTAGAAATGTAAAGCAAACAAATTTGTATTTCAATCTCTATGCTATTTTTTCTGTATTAGAAGCACGAGCCAGTAGAGTTATATTGTCATCATAGACATCTAGTTGTGATCATGACCTTCTGCTTGTGACTATGACCTTCACTATCACCTGTCACCTTAGTCTCATATTTCAAATTCTCTGACACAAATAAAACAAGCATGTGGAGCATTCTTTTTAATATTTTTTTCTGATTTAGATTGCCTGACCATTTAGATCAGAAAGTTTCCCACATCTACACTATGTAATATACAGTTCATATGAAGGCAACCTCATGAATGCAGTTTTTTATATATCAAATAACGGTCCCCAAGTGAAGAAAGGTGAGTTCTATTTGTATTATTATAGGTAGTGTTAAATCCAGACCCTAAAAAGGGCATGGTAATCCAATTATCAAAAGGGCACTTTATGCCGCGACAGGCACTTTTTTAACGATAAATATTTTCTTTATCATGTTTATGTACTTAAATTATTATTTAATACTGAAATCTTTAGTTATACAAGTATCTAAAAGAGAAATTTATAAATCTGTCAGCTTAATTCATTTAATACACACTGAGAGGGCAATTATTGCCAAAATTTATATTCAAATTTTTTAATCAAGAAATTAATATGGTTATCAAGGTTATGCTTAAAAAGTAATAGGTGTGAATCCTTTTGTCACTTGCTCAAAAATTATTTTAGTTTGGGGTATGAATTCTTTTTCCTTACTTTAATATTGTTATTTGTGTATGAGGTAAATAACAGAACAAAATTGCAAAGTGGGGGGGGGGGGAGGGAGGACTACTTGGATAATGAATGTAGAGGGCATTCTCTTTATTTTGAAAATAATCTACCAACAAAATCAAGTGAAACTGAACATACCAAAAAATTAAACTTGAAATAATATATAAATTGGTTAAAACTTTTTTTCTGGCTTAGAAACATTGATTCTCTGGATGTCAACTCAAAAAGTTAGAACACAGAATCACTGAACATGTTGATAGAAACTAACTTCATACTTTGATGTTTCCTAGCCCATTTCACACATAATTATAATATTCAGTTTTTTTGGTACTGTACATTGTAAGTTGTCTTAATTCATCAGCAGTTTTATTTTTCACATTTCTTCATCAACTCTGTTTTTTCTACTTTCAATTTTAAAAAAAAAACGATCCTGATTTACAATGAGTAACATTTTAATTTACAAATTAATCTATCTGTGACATTGGGCTAATTCTTGCATAATCAATGCAATCAAATGATATTTTCTCGTGTTACCTCTTATACCCTGACAGCCTGAGGCATGTTACCTGGCCAGGTGGCTGTGTGCGTTCAAGCGACAAGTGATTTCCTGTCCTGAATTCACACCTTTGCGTGCATTAAATAAACAAAGGGGCTAATCAGCATGCACTGAATAAACAAAGCCGCTAGTCCATCTTGCCTCTGCTAGGCATATTTATTAATTTTTGCAAGGAAAAAAGGGCATGGCGCTGGAAAAAAGGGCATGGCGCCGAGAAAAAAGGGCATGGCGCCGCGCCATGCTTGTTTGCTTTAGATTTAACACTATTATAGGACATGTATTCGAAAAGCTTTTCAAATAAACAGCAATAAAACAATGAATCAAATCAAAATGTTTACATCTCATTGTACTGAAATAATCGATTTTTAAGTCTGAAAGGGAGTAAGAATAAAGATCAAAGTTAAACAGATGAATCTATAAGGGAGGACTTATAAAAGATCTTTTCAAATGCAGGAAGATCAGAATGAATCAAATTCTTCAACATGGTCAAGTACAATATACTTAGATTCAGGTTATTCATAGAGTCCATGAAGGTTAAGGGCGAGGGCCGGAGTACATAGAAGGTCAATTTTTTTTTAAAAAAAAAACAAGGAATATATTGGGGGAAAATATGCATGAAAATGTCCTTCAACATAGCTGGATCATAATTAGTTCAACTTATGGCTCTTGGGTGACATTTGTAGATTGGATTATATGCAAGAACAGTTTTTGAAAGTCTTTTAAGAACAAGAGTAAATAAAATTAAGGTTCATTGACTCTCTACTATGAGAGATAATTCTTTGTAGGGTAATGAATATTACTTTTATAAAATTGTCAAGTTTAGACATTTCCGTCAAAAATTACTATAAATTGAAATTTATATGAATTTTATTTATAAATTAGATTTAAAACATATGAAATTTGCTTTAACGCCTGTTATTTAAAATTATAATTAATTTAATTTTTTTTTTTTATTTTTATAATATAAAATGCACTCAATTTCAACCTAACGTATTGGGCAAAATTTGACAGAAATGGCCTTTTATCTTGATAATTTTTTAAAGGAACAATATATTTATCCAAGTTGGAGTTGTCTTGTCAGAGAGTCCCTAAGCCTCAAGACCAACAGAAATAAATTTTATATCGAGCTCTTACACACTGTTGCTTAAAATTATTAAAATCCATAGGCTTCAAAACGCAGTAAGGTGGTTATAGGTCTCATTTATGTACACATTCGTTTGTCAAAAAATGTGTCTCAACTCTGAAGTTACTTTTTTAATGGGACCCATGGGCCTCTTATTTCAATAATTATGTGGTTTTTCTGCCCAAAATACATTAAGAAACATTGAACATGATAAACGAACACAATAAGATCGTGTGTCCATATTGCATGAAATAAGCAAAGAATGATAATAAAGAAACAATTAAAAGCCTATAATATGCTTCGTATTTAATTTCCGTTCAACGAATTGCATTTTAATTTGTTCCCATAAAGCTTGTCCGTGTTTATTAAATGCATAGTAGATATTTCATTTATTTTTCAGTGTTATGTATCACTAACTGCCGAACTTCAGCCATTTCCTGGAAAACCCACTAGCCCAGGGGTCACTGTTTAGTAAAAAATTACTAGCCCAAACCTCAAACTAAGAGGTCCAACAATTTTTTTATGCAGAATGAAAACATATTAACAAATTAAAAGTTTCAACGCTTTGGTGACAGAAACAAATTAAATTAGTTCTTATTCAAAAGAAATCAGTCTACATAGAAAAGCGAAAGTAAACTGACGAGAATTTTTTTTCTTGTTCTGCTAGTCCGACTAACTATCATTTCATTTAAATAAACTAGCCCGAGTCTTAAAACGACTAGCCCTGGATGTTCGGGCTACTGTATATTTCAACCCCGGGTCACGGTCTAAAGATTTTTTTGGAAATCGAGCTCTTCTGCAGTTGAGGTAAGAATTTGGAGAATGAGATCCAGATCCAACTTTTTTTGTGAATAATAGATATACAGTTGTTTTTTTTTTTTTTTTTTGGGGGGGGGGGGGTAAGCAGTGTAGCTTTATGGTCTGTTATTTTTTTTTCTTTTCGGAGAGCTACACTTCTGCAGCTAGATTCAGACCTAAGAAAAAAAAACGATAACAATAAAAAAAAATTACCTATTAACCGTATGTTTTATTAGTAAACAAACATTTTTCAACCTTATGAAAAAAAATATAACTCAGTGGCCTGAATAAAAATGTTAGCTCAGGCAACTCACCATTTTGACTTTTAGGTAGTAAAGCAGATTTTTTTTCCTTAAGTTTATCTGAGTCTATATTTTATGACATGGCTATTAATTCAAGATTAGAGGGGAAAATCAGATTTTTCAGTAAATTTTTATAACTAAGTAGTCTCAGGGGGAAGCAAAACTTTGTATTGATTTAGGCACAGATACAGTTACAGATTGAACAAATAATTAAACTGTGGGAAGAAGAAAAATAATCTGCTTTATATTTAAAACCTAAAGGAGTTCTTCTAATAGTCTGATAAAATGTTCTCAACGTATGTCTGCTGTTATTTACTTTTCATATGTTTCTCTTTGTGACCAATCACCACTAAACTTTGTAGACATTTTACTCCAACCCTTATGAAATACATTAATTTAAAATACTGTAGTTACATGTAGTAATCAAAATTGTTTTAATTTTGCCTTAATGATGGTCAAATTAGTTAATTGTCCATAGATAATGAAACACAATAGAATGAATGCAGATCTCATTAATGATATCAATATACATGTATATGTTTGAATCTCCTTTTAGATACTAACAGCTGGTCACCTGTTGATGCCGAGGGAACATTCCCGATCCACCGTGGCAAGCTGCAGGGTGTGGCTGTGGGTCAGTGGATTTACTACTTTGGGGGGTTCTGTCCTAAAGCTGCGGATTTAGATGAGGATGACGAGGATGATGAAGAGGTGGCAGCTTTATGGTCTGATAGTTATGGTTCATTAACCCCGCTGACCCTTCAATATATTTACGTGTTCAATGAAGATTATAATCGAATTTTTAAAAAGTCCTGGTAATTACTATAAAACAGAAACTACAATAATGGTGTTGTATTTTTTTTTGTTTTTGAATATATGATTATAATGTGACTTTTTCTTAGTGGGAAGAGGAAGAAAGTGATGAACTGTCGACAGACCAATCAGGGGCAGATTTTGGCTGGTTCAACGATCTTCACGTCCTTGACACAGATATTGAAAATGCAAGTCAAAGAGATCTGTACTTTTGTATTGTAAATAAACAAAAACTTTTAAGTATATTTCTATATCAAAATGTAGAGGTCTAAGTGTGTAAATAAACAATAGAGCTAGGGGAGCTCACTGTTTGGAAAAGCAATTTATTACAATTTTTAGGTTCATAGCATTTTTTAAAACTACAAGGAAAGAGATCTACTTTGCAGTAGTTATGAATTCCATATAAGCATGTGTTTTACTGTATAAGTATAAAATCTGAAGTTAATCTGTTTTAGTTGGCAAGAAGTGGACACACCCAATGCAGATGAATCTTGGTGAACCTACTGCCCAAGCTGAACATGTAATGTGTGCTGTAGACAAACAGATTGCCATATTTGGAGGAAGGGATACAGAGGCTTGACAGAATGCTTTACACATTTTTAATATAGGTGAATGTATACAGAATTAATATCTTTAGGCCATAATAAAAAAAATCCTAGATTCTCAACCCCGCCCACTTAAAATTTTATCTCCATCATTTTTTTTTTCTGCTTTTACAAAAAAAAATGGATTTTTTTCTAACTGAATGGTCTGATGTTCACAATAGGCATTTCTAATGAAAAAAGTTGATTTAAAAAACGGAAAAAACAAAATGTGATATGCTCTTAATTTTTTTTACCGTCGTGCCCTTTTTATTTTCGTCGAGTATTTCTAAAAATTGTGTCCGTTGCTGCACCGTACAGTTTTAGAAAAATATAATTTGGATTTCTTTTGTTATATTTTACAACAGCAGACGATAATAAGGTCAAAACAGGTAAAATAATGTAGTCTGAAACAAAATTTCACCTCACTTAGCACAAATCCGCTATTACCGCATACGTTTGAAACGAAAGTCCAAGATATTTTTTTCTGACGACCTATCTAAAGTGTATTGGTGCTACTGTGCGCATTGTTTACAACATGTCAACAGAAGTCACGTATCGGAATTGGAATTTTTGGCGTGTATTATGTAATTTCCTCTAAGGTCACGACCCTAGGACCTTTGTTTCAAAATGGCGCCGGGTAAACATCTGTACTTTTATTTTCTCCCTCGTTTCACTCCTCCGAAAATAAATATTTTCTTGACTAATTTTTAGAAAAACAACGAAAAAGAATATTTTATAGGATTGTTGCGTTCGTTACAAATCGCATTTTTATTCAATATAACACAAATGACATATATAAAATTTACAAAGTAAACAATGACAGGGCTGGGCGGACAGGGAAAGCCAAAGACACAAAACAACTTGCGATTCTTTGTAACGAACGTCGCATTAATCGAACATTCCCGGGTGAGTATATATATACTGAGCGCGCAAGCGCTCGTGCATGAAAAACCAGTTTTCTTCAGATACGAAGATTCACGGAAAGTACCGAAAGTAAAAACGTAAAGAAATAAATTGAACGAGATGTAAACAGTCAACAAAGGCATGATTTTTCTAAACTATCAGTTCAATCGAAAGAAAAAAATATTTGTAATGAAGATATGACTTAAGAAATGAAACAGTATTTCAAATTTATTTACAAAACGGACACAATCAGATAAGGGTAACGACTAATGGACCTCCGATGATATATCTGTATGTTGATTTTCTCCAATACTTTGCGAAATTTCCCAATTTTAATATATCCCAGCCACTGTACAAAATGGCTATGTATGAGCCCTGAATATCTTTAGTACAAAAATTGACTGTCTTAGAAGCCTTCTCCAAAATTATTGTAAAAAAACAGAGAACATTTTTCTTATGCGTTATATAAATTTCTATTCATATGCTTTCTACCTATATGGTATTGACTCTTTAAGAAACAAGAAAGTGGGAACAGAAATGAAATAAAAGGACAAAAACCAGAACCGAGGTCATTTCATGCTGCTGTCTCCATTGGAAGTAAACTGGTTGTCATTGGGGGAAGAGGGACAGAAAACCAACATTTTGCTGATGTCCTTGTTTTTGACTGTGGTAATTTTGTTGTTGTTGTTCAAATAGATGTTTGTTTCAATAAAGCTCTGATATTGTACTTTAAAAATTTAAAAAGATTTAGTGACATATAAATTATATTTGATTTCAATTTTTTTTTTTGGACCCAGTAAAGCAGAGTGGGGTAGTTCCTGTGGGGAGAAGCCAGCAATCCCTGGGGATAATTGGGGACAAAGTGATAATGTATGGAGGAACAGCTGATTTTTGTCCAGAGATCAATGCATGTCAGAGATTCTTCACAGACACATACATATTTAATACAGGTAAATCTACACATTCACCTACACACTGAATAAGGTAAATACACATTTAATACAGATGAATCTACACAGACACCTACATTTGTAATACATATAAATCTTCACACACACCTACACATGTAATACAGGTAATTAAACAGACACCAATAACTTTCACAAATACATACATATTTCATACTGGTAAATTGGCCCTTCATTTGAACAAACTTGAATCACCGTTACCCAAGGATACTTTGTGGCAAGTTTGGTTGAAATTAGCCCAGTGGTTCTTGAGAAGAAGTTGAAAATGTGAAAAGTTTATGCACGACGCACATCCACACGACGACGGACGAAAACAGATAGCAACAGGTCATCTGAGTGACTCAAGTGACCTAAAAAAGGTTTAATGTACTTTTGTATGAACTGGATGGAGTGGCAGCTATTTTATGAATCACTGCAAGGAAACCAGGATATGAGTTCTTACTTTTGAATATTATGAATTGAATCCAAAATCACATAATTTTATAAAGTTCTGTCAAAATTCAAGTTTAAAATTCAAAATTCAGTTGGTATGCAATTGAACTTGAAGTAGATAAATTTTGAAAGGACTATATTCTGTAGTGGCCAGTATCTGCCCCCAAAATAAAACTTTGATGGAGAAATCTTTAATTATGTTCTAAACCAGGTGGATATTTGCAGACTTCAAAGCATTAAATATTTTTATCAACTATGACATCATTAGTTAGATATGACGTCAATAAAATGACGTAAATTCCAAATTGCAATGATTTTGAGAGAAAATAGCGTATTTTACGTCGGTATTTTGATTGGAAATTATCGAGCGCAGGTCTGCTCAGACTAGATCTTTTGATATAATGTGTAGAATGATAATATCAATGAAATATGTGAATATGGTACCTGAGCAAGCTTGCGCTCTATAAAAACTATAGTCAAAATTGAACAAACTCTGTGCATTTTGGCCTCTATTTTAAAAATAACGGAAATCCAAATAGTTTGTGACGTCACAGAGACAAGAAAAGCCAGCTAATTTTTCCAATTTCATAATATATTGTCTTAATTTGGATTATTTTATACAATATATGCACTTTTTCTCATTTCAAGAGATTTTCAAAATTTGACTATTATGGGGGCAGGAATACGCCCTTACCGTATATAGTTCTTTGTACATGTTTTGAATAGCTTGCATCATTCGTGAAACAATACGTATATGCCTTGATTACTCTGGTATATCTACATATACATTGTACTAGCTTGTAACACAGTTCTTAAATATTTTCTCCCCTTTTTACTCTGACAAAATTAATCAAATGTTCAAGACAAATCAAGTTTAAAAATCAAAATGTATGTTGATTTGTTAAATAATAAGAAAGATGTATTCAATTTCTTTTTATGCATGTGTATTCTATCAAAGTAGAATATGTTCTATCAAAAAACTGTTTACCAGTTAGTATACTTTTTACTGCAATCTTTATGAAAATTATTAATATGCATTTAATCTATCTCTGGACTCTTGTTTTTTTCTTTGCATGTAATTTTAAGTTTATTAATTAGCCCTAGCTATATGACAGTGAGATACAGTGTTTGTCAAGACCCTTTCCTGTCAGGTCATCCTAAGAAATTGAAAGAAATTGTTTAAAGTGAATAATTTCATCAACTTTCATACTGAACAGACATAGTTGAAATAAGTATAAGTATAAACTATATCAAATTTTCTTTCCTATGACCTTAATATCACTTCTGATTTCTATTAATTTTATAGTTTCTTTAAGATTTTCATACAATTTATGCTATGATAAATATGATGGACTGTCTCTTGAATCATAATTTTCTGACCTTGACCTTTAAGATTTTTCTTCACTGTGGACATTGATCTAGCTTTTTATTTAGCTTAACTGAGATATAAGATGAAGTGAGTTTTATTGATAACTCATTTTCCAGCAGAGTGCTCTTTTGCATGGTCTCAATCATACATAGACCCATGTTTACATCTCATTAAGGAATCTGCCACTTTAAAATGTATTATTATATACAACTCCAGCAGTAGGTACATGGACTAAAATTGATAAAAGCCCTTATACATACTTCAGTTTTTTTTAATCAGTGTAAAATGCCAAACCCATGGCCACTATTTGGCAACTTAAGGACTCTCAGAGTAATCCTTTCAGACAACAACAATAAACATGTACACATATGATATAACTTAAATTAATATATTATTAAATCCCTGATCTTGCATTCATTTAACAATAAGAGTTTTTTTTTTATTCTTATCATTTCCATTAAGTGTGTACAGTGCATATATATGGTATTACTTATTGTTGTATTTTACTGTGATTTTTTTAATTATGGCTTCACTTCAGATATTTGATTTTCTTCACCTGTTTATTTACACATTGAACAACAAATAGATTGTCTTTTGTACCTGTACACAGTCCCCAGGGTACACCCGGTCCACAGTCTATGTAACGGAGGAACTGTCCATCCTGGTCTATGATGTGGATACAGGCATTGTAATAATCAACAGTAAGGATATGACTCTGACTGTCTGTGGTGATTCCTCGTGGATCAAATAATTCATTCTTTGGAGCAGTAGTATGTCCAGTGTACCTGAATCTCAGTTTCCCGGCCTGATTGACCACCACTACTGCACTAGCTCTATCATCAGACACACAGATATCCAGGTTCCTGTTCTCAGTAATGTATCTTAGATAATAAGGACTAGGTGAATAAAGAGGTTTACCTTTACTATCAAACTGAATGCTTTGTTTCTCAGTGGAGCCAGAGTAACGGACAACTTTTGTTTGTTTGTTACCATCACTGTCCATGATAACCAGGAGGTCACCAGAGGAGGTACTACAGACACCTTTAGGTTTCCAGTTCTGTAGTCTGATCACCTCCCCTATCTTCTCATTCTTCACAATGTTCACAGTTTTATCATCACAATCAGTATAAACTAGATCTCCACTTTTTGTCACTGCTATGTTAGATGGCCAGTTCCCTGACTTGGTTGTGATTGACTTGAGTAGTGATCCCTGATTGATGCTGAAGAGTTTCATGGTGCTGTTATTTCCACTTGTCCAGATTTCTTCATCACTCAGACAGGCAACATTGTAAAGGTTATCTCTATACCCAGTGTTTATGGTGGTGACAGTCTCTGGTTCATCAAGTAGCTGTTTGACTGGAGGAGAAGATCCAGCTTCTGGTGATTTCTGTGGTGTCTTCATGCTGTAGCCATGTTTATCTGATGTTAGAGAACTTGATGATAAGGCTCCAAACATTTTACTTAGTTCTTCTCCATAGATTCTTGCAGGAATAAATCTAGGTAACTGAGTCAATATTTTTTCTGGAATATTTCTGTATCTGCTCATATCAGATGTAACACTGAATAGTTTGGAAATGTCATTGGAATTCACAGCAACATCAACTGAATCGATTTCATTCTTGATTTCAGAAATGCTTTTGTTTATTTCATCCAGATGTTTTTGTAGAGTTTGTAATTGTGTGTTTTTCATAACATCAACTTCTGCTTTAAGTTTCTTGACAAGTTTGTCAATTTCTCTGTTCCAGTCCTCTCCATGTTTTGTTATGACTGTTGAGAGATCTCCAAATTCCTTTTCTAACTGACTCATTCTGTTTTGTATGTCTGAAACAATATCCAGGTAGGTTGGATAAATAATGTCTTTTAATTCAAATTGTTCTTTTATAATCAATTTTTTCTTTTCCTCAAGAATTTGTAAAAGTTTTGACAATTCATGGCCTAAATGTTGATTAGATGCAAGACAGCTGATGCAGACAGGAATGTCACATTGTTTACAGTACATTTCACAAAGTTCCGTATCATGAGATGTACATGCAGGATAGGTCGTAGTGGATGTTCTGTCCTTGAAATCAACAATTTTGTGAGGTCTTGAGAGATCAGCAGAAATATGTTCTCCCACACAGGCCTTACACAGGTTGACAAGACATGTATCACAGTGCATCTGTACCACAGCGGTCTCACACAGGTCACATCGCATCACGTCCTGGGCACTGGTACGGGGGTCCATGATCAAACTAGGACTAGTGTTACTGTATAGAAAAATAAAGTTGTAATTTTATAATAGCGAGCGCAGCGAGCGGCGCGAAGCGCCGCTCGTCACTGCGAGCTCTAACGACAACGCCTGGGCGAAGAGAAAATTCGGACTACTGCACATTCATTCAATAGAATTTTTTTCCGCAGTAATTCTGACCCACAATGCATCGCTTCTTGTTCTCGTTGATAACTTCGTTCACGCGGTGACAACAACTAAAAATTCACACAAAATAAACTCACCTTAAGTTAATGGATATTGCATGCAGATAGTAGATTAAACGTTCTTTGTTAAAATATTTGCACTTTTAAACTTTGTTTATGGAAATGCAGCTAACATACGACGTCATGTGACGTCACAGTCTAGACGTTCCAAATGTCTCGTGCGGTTTGAAGAGGCGGATCATAATAATGAAGTGAACACTGCGCTCGCCCCAACGGTCGCACCGTCAACATATTATTTATAAATGTATCAGTATTCTTATAGTTGCTTCATAAAGTGACTGGGAGGTATTTGTTATAAGGGAACTTATCATGTTAAAAGAATAGCAATGCTCATTAGCACACGTACATACAAGTCAGATATGATACACACCATAGTTTAAAATATTCAGCTGGTAGAAACGAAAGTAGTATATCTCCCCCTCCCCTATCAGTTATGATCTTGGTCATCTTTTAAAAGTTTCTTTATTTAAACAAATCTTGTTAGTTTTTTCAGACTTGAAAATTGCAAGTAATCAAAATATATTGAAAGAATTACCCCATAATTATTACCTGATTTTACTGGCGTCTGTCGTGTCAGCATCATACTACGGAAGCCTATTAGCCAGTCAACTCGTACCCATTCCGACTCGTACCCAAACCGAGTCGTACCCAAAGAGTCAACTCGTACCCAAAACTGAAGTCATAAAATAAATAATGAAAATATTTCACTATTTGATATATTTTCTATAAAGATATCTGATTTATTATTCCAATTTAGTTACACTACTTATATTTTATAAAATAATGACAACTGAATTAAATTTGTTTGAAAAAATTCAACTTGCATAGTCGCCCACGTGGCGCAGTGGTGAGAGCGTCTGCTCTAGAGTCGCGAAGTAAGGAGTTGATCCTTACGTCGCGGGTTCGAATCCCACTGTGGGACGTGGAGACCGGTCCTTCGGATGAGACCGTATAAACCGAGGTTCCGTGTCGCAGTAGGTGCTGGCACGAAAAAGATCCCTCACTGCTTAATGGCCGGAAGTGCCGAGCATAGGACAAAATTTGCAGCTCTCCACCGGCAAGTGGTGACGTCTCCATATGAGTGAAAAATTCTCGAGAGGGACGTTAAACAACATACATTCAATCAATCAACTTGGCATATATAGATAATCATACATATAGATAGGGCCTAGATAGATATTTCCAAATCAGGGCCCTTTCAGGCATCACAAACAACAAGCATGATTTATGCAATTACCAACAACACAGACGAATTATGTGTATACTAAATAATCTATAGTATATGTCTTTGTGTTTAGTATAACACTGTATATGTAAGTAACAGTTTTGGGTACGAGTTGACTCCTTGGGTACAGCTCGGTTTGGGTACGAGTCGGTCTGGGTACGAGTTGACTGTAAATCATCTATGGAGAGAAGAGAAAAAAAAAATTTAAAGGCGTTATTACGCCTTTTCAAAAGGCGTACGTTATTACAGTCATTCTACGATAAATGGACCAATTTAGGATATAAAACATGAAAAAAAATTCAAATAGCAAAATTAACATCATAATTCTCAGAAGGACATATCAGTGAACTTGAAAAAAAGAGTTGTCCACAAATCTGATATTGTTAACTTTTTACAACAATTTCAATATTGATTTTAAGGTAATGTTACTTGTTAGGGAAGTTAATGCTTGATTAGTCTTATTATTTTTCAAATAAAGCGAATTTGACCAAATTTTCTTTCTCTTGTTCAGTATATAGAACGCTAAAGTATGATTCATGAAGTTTCGCATGTATCCGAAATTAAGGATGACGTTTAATCTGGGATTCAGATTAGAGAAACGGAATGCTATTAAGTACAGTATGTTAAATCAAAAATGGTTCTAAATGAGCATAATAACCAAGTTATAACTCAATATCAATTTAAAAATTTATTATTTGAAGAAAATATGAAAGAACAAAAGCAAAATATATGGTGGTGCAGAGGAAATTCAGACTAAATTTTATTTTTTCATTTTAGTATCAAAACTTTTTTTTTCTTGCAATATCATTACAAAGTCAAGTTTTTATGTGTTTTAAACATTATTTTGCAAATATTATGTGATTAAAGCTCATGTAGTATTTCAAATAATTGAATGACATGCAATGAAGAATTTCAAAAATATGAACTCAAACCATTCCAGAAAACATATCTCAATAATCTGATCATTGACCTCATATAATTTTAATACCAGCAGAATAAGGACAACAAAGGTAAACTGAGGCTAGAAATAATTTAGAGTTCTTATCATTCAGATTTTTGTAATATTAGATTTAAAATTGGTAAAAATTAGAAAATTGGCAGAGGAAATTCGGTCTGGAATAATTAACAAGATTATGGCTCAAACTCTAATTGCTTATTTATATGTGGCATAACTATTTCGTTCCTATTATAATTTGTTATCTAAAGAGATTTGTTGCTTGCAATATTTTGTGAGTAAAGAAATATTGGTCATGGTGTGAAAAATTGAGATATTTCCCGAGAAATACTCAGGGGCCATTTGCACGAAAAGTAAGTCATTGACCTATTCTCTTTAGAGAAGTGGGCAGGCTTTCGCCTACATCCATGGATGTAGGCGAAAGCCTGTCCGCTTCTCTAAAGAGAATAGTCATTGACTTAGTTATATGGAAGTGAATACTTACACAAAAATTCGGGATGTACAATATTTGGTTTTTCATTCTTATCAGTGGAATTTTTTGTCATCTGATTAAATGTCATCCTTAAGTAAAAATTTTGGGAAATTATATTGTTAAGGAAGTTAATTCCCAGCAATAAAAGTTAAAATTCTCGGCAACAGTTAAAATCAAAATTTGTTTGTTGCTAACCAAAATTAAAACAAATATTTCTATTTGTTTTATTACTTTTATAAAGATAGGACTTTCCTGTAAATTGCACAATTTAAATCAATCGCGTTTAATAGATATTATAAATTTCAAACAATAACAATTTATATACCGACTCCACATTTAAATAACAGACAAATTTAAAGTCAATTTAACTATAGAAACGTCTGGTTATTCAAGCTCAAAATCGGTGAAAATTTTAATTTGAACGTAAATAACATATATCTTGTATATTTACACTCAATCTATTATTATTTCTTAAAGCTCAGATACGCCATAAACATGTGTATAGCTTTAAATGCGTAATATATTTTCAGTGTTAAACCAGCTTAGTACTTCTCTGATGCCAGACACCTCTACCAAGGGTCATGGATTACACAAATTTGGTTGAAGGCTGATTGCTCATTATACCCATGCAAATAGTTTGCCTGCTTTTTTTCAAGAGGAGATAAAAATATTTTCAAATTTGACATGAATTTTTAATACATGGCCAGCAGAACCCCAAGCTGCATCTGCCTACACATTGTATATCCTTGATTTTCACAATTAGAGTGTTGACTTCTCTTAATATGCATGCAATCAGTTGTCTGCGAGATGTGCAGGAATATAGAAAATAATTGTAAATATTGCATAAACTATTTGTTAACATAAAATAACGCCTTTCCATTTGTTGATATAACGCCTTTTCAAACAGGTCGGTAGTACAAGTACGATTGGGGCCCCCTCCCCCACCCCATTTTTGGGAGAAAAGTCTTGCTATAGTTTAAATATAAAAATTCATTTATTTGTTGCTTGGTCCCTGAACTTATTGCATTTAAAAAAGGTTTTAGTGAAAAGTAAAAAGTTCCCCATCGAGTTTAGGCAGTTCTTTTTTCGGGAGAAGGGTTCTTCTTTTTTTGTTTGCTTGTCAATTTTTGGGAGGCTGCCCCCCCCCCTTTTTTTCAAAAGCAGGTACCTGTCAAATGCATAAAAATGGCTATTGAAAAGGCATAAGAACGTTTTCAAAAGGCTTAATAATACCTTTGAGAAAGGCGTTATAACGCCTTTTGAAAAGGCGTAATAACGCCTTTTAGAAAGGCGTAATAACGCCTTTTTCCGCGTTATTACACATATTCGAAAGGTGTTAAAACGCCTTTTAATTTTTTTTTCTCCATAGATTGACCCTTATAGGATTTCGTTTAATCTACTTATAAGGTATTTATAGTTCTTGGTCTGCGTGTATTGGGGACAATGCATAATCTATAGCTCACCTGAGCTAATATTTCTGATCATCTAGTGTCATTCTGTCTGTTCATCCTTCTGAGAACGAACTTGATTTACATCGAATTCTTCTCCAGAACTACGTTATGGCTTTTTTCAACCAAAATATGGTCAAATAATTTTGCAAGGTTTACCTCCTTTTTAAAATCCTTGCTACAGGCCTGCTATATGCAAGTTTCTTCGGGTAATATCGAGAAAATTTGTTCAAATCAAGGCGCCCCAGGAGCAGCTAGGGATGTAGCTACAGAAAGGCATCATTTTTTAAATACTGAAATATATATAAAATTTAAAGGATATTGACCTCAAAATTATCAAATTTGTGTAATGTAGATTCAGCATTGTTCAATCTGTGCCGTATATATTCAAATTCGGGGAAGGGCTTAGGCTTCAGAAGTATGACAATTTGTCAAACATTGCAATATTTGATCTTTTCCATTTGTATTGTATAATTTCCATTTGTATTCTATGTATAATTAAACCATACAAATGGAAAAATATATATACAAATGAAAAATTATACAAAACAGATGAAAAATTATAGAAAACAAATAAAATTATACAATTCAAATGAAAAATTACACAAAAAAATGTAAAACCATAGAATACAAATAGAAAATTACAGAATGAATTGGAAAATTATACAATAG